GAAGACACATCCCTCTCTGGGGCACAGCGAGGGAGGGCAGCCCCCAGACCGGGCTGCTTGACGGCCCCCCGCATCCCTGCACGGGGCCGTGTTGGCCACGTGTCCTGCTAGCGATGCTTACAAACTGGTTTTGACTTTGCCAAAACGCAGCGGGGAAAGTTCACCCTGTGCCGTTTGCTTGGCGTGAAGGGGCAGCACTAAAGCTACGCCGGCGTGCCGACAGCCGCGCTGCGCCCTGCTTCCTCATGAGGTTAGAAGTCTTGGGCAGTTTTCCACAGTTACTTCGTGCCGGTACTGAAGTGCAAAATGGAGCTGTGATAATACGACACTGAGCGTGGATGCTTGCTCCATGGGAGTGATTGGGGGCGGCCCCAGGAGTCCTGTTCTGAGATTTTAAAATTGTGGTAAAGTAAATGCCTCGCAGAGGAGTGGAAGCAGCTAAAACACAGTATGAAATTGTACTGAAGGGAGGTGATTTTTGAGGCTTTTCTTGGAGCGATAGTGCCATGAAGATGTGTTAAAAACGTCACAGGTTTTGTGATAACAAACGCTTTGTCATTAAAGGCATGAAAATGGAAACAGCCTGTCTGAAGGGGGGCCTCAGCTCTCTCGTGTCTGCAAGTGGAGCTATTGAACCATCAGAGAAAGAAACACAAGGAGGGGACTGTTCAGCCCTGCTTGGTGAGAGACGCCTGATGCCTGCTCCAAGCCGTGCCCAGACGTTTCCAGTTGCCAGAAGGAAGGTAGTTGGAGCCACTGCCCAGAGCCTGCAAATATGAATTTTAAATAAAATAAAAATAAATATTCTAAAAATAAGACTTTTGAAGAAATGGGGCAGATGTTTTTTTTTTTTAGAGGCTGTTGCTGATGCAGCTGTCAGGGGCTGCTGGCAGTCCGGGAGCACAAGCAATGACTAACGTGGCAGAACCCATTCTCCAGGCCAAGGAGTTAGCGGGGGGGAGGGAAGACATCTGCTCGCAGCATGGCAGGGATCAAAGAAAAAGCACGAGCTGCACAGTATCGCGTCTGTCGCTCCAACGGGAATGGGATGCGGTGCCCACCTCCAGCCTCGCGGGGTCTGTGCCGTACCCCTGCCACCGTTTCC